GTCTTAAATTGACTCTTGGTTTTAAACTGAACCGAGTCTCTTTCTCTCAGAGGTTTCTCTGGTGTGTAACCCTAAGCCATCAGCCATTTTGGCACTTTTTTTAAGCCACTTAAAGGGACAGTTCACCCAAAAATGACAATTCTGTCACCATTTACTCGCCCTCATGTTGTTCCGAACCTGTATACGTTTCTTCTGCTGAACACAAAAGCAGATCATCTGAAGAACGCGTGTAACCAAACAGTTGCTGCAGGTCCCCATTGACTTCCATAGTATTTTGTTTCCATGCTATAGTAGTCAATAGGGACTAGTAACTGTTTGGTTACACACGTTCTTCAGATGATCTGCTTTTGTGTTCAGCAGAAGGACGAAACAACAACAAGTAAATGATGACAGTATTTTCATTTTGTGGGTGAACTGTCCCTTTAAGGCATTGTTCATGAAAGAAAAGCATAAGGAAGGTCTTATGTAAACTGAATTTCTCATGTAAATTGTCGCTGTGTTCATGTTTCATGGCTCATGGAGACATTGAGAAGCCTATCTTGGTGTTTTTTATTTTATTTTAATGCGATATTATTTAATGTGTGGCCAAAGTGTTGTCAACCAACATGCAATGCATGACAATAAATGTACGCCTTTGTTTGACTACGGATGGATTTCAGCTTCAGGGAAACAAGCTCAGCTTTGTTGATGTCAGACTCATTTTTTGGGGCCCATGTTATTTTGCATTGTGTCGATTACCCAGTGTGTTCTGTCGAAATAAATATTTTTTACATGCATTATTGCTTGAAGGAATTTGTACTCATTTTTGCAAAATATCTGAGAAGCGTCGATGTGTAAAATAAATTGTATGGATTTAATATGGTGACTAATATTATTAATATCAGTTCATCCAAATCTTTCAGATTATTAATAAGGCATCCATCATGAGAAAGCACATCTGTTTTTTTTAACAGGAAAGACTACCAAATAAATAAATGTTTTGATCTGCTTTAAAGGCGATTTTCTCAATATTTCAATTTTTTCAAATAGTTGTATCTCAGCCAAATATTGTCCTATCCTAGCAAACCATACATCAATGAAAAGCTTATTTATTTATCAGGTTTAAATAAGACCCTTATGACTGGTTTTGTGGTCAAAGTGTACATTCACAGATAATATAAAGTCCACTAGGTGTCAGACTCACACAGAAAGTGACCAGAAAATCTGCTTCCTTTTGTGAAATTGAATGAAGGTATTTTCAAGTGTCAATATTTATTTATTTAACCCCTTAACTGCCACACATTTTTGAACATAGACGTGAAAGTGCACGATCCAAACTTACATTTGTATAATTCATGAACGAAAACATTTTGTAACATGATATTGTTACAAACAAGAGGTGCACTCTTGACAAAAATTAATATAACATAATTTTTAACAAAAACATTGGTAAAATATCTATTTAGGAG